TATATATATATATATATATATATATATACATTTGACTCACATTCAGGAATGACCGACGATATGGAGGAAGGGGAATGGAAATGGGTGAATAAATATCCCGTTGATGATTGGTTGATGGGAACAGAGAGGTATTGGGAACCTGGTGAGTCTGAGGATTTGGATCCCGGACCACAAGTACCAACTGGAGCTGAAGAGGACTGTGGGGCCCTGGTGTCTTCGAATGGAGTCCTTGCTAGTCTTTACTGCGAGAAGTTATTAGGTTATATTTGTGAATTCCGTGAGTACCCTCATTCATAACGTATTGAAATCATATGTGCAATGTATCAAAGCAATGTTGCAGTGGTGTCAACCGACGTGTCTGGTGCAATGAAAACAAATCGTCTTGTTTAGTCTATATGTGCATTTTGTCTATTAGTTTATATTCACTTCAATGCCAAAACTATTTGCATGTTGTAAAAATCTATCCATATCCACCTCGCTAATTCCCAACCCCGGTTAGTTCGCCATAACGCCGTCTTCCCCAAATATCACCGGGAACTTATACTCAGGCGTCACGGTCTGTTCTGGTACACACACTCAGTCAATCACCATGTCGACAACACACATTATTATACGACACTCGGTTGGGGTGAAATGGATTACCAATATCTGTCACATGTTATTTTTGATATATTAAAATAATTTATTCGATCCCATGCCAATCGAATGAAACAAAACATGTTAATATCACGATAACCTGATTATTATAAACATGTTTTTACCACAGTGATACCCTGCTACAGAACTTAGTATGTTAATATCACAGTCGCTAGAAACTAGTAGGTTTGAAACATATTCATGTTTAAAATCACAGTCAGCTGGCATCGGTGTCGCTGGGTGTATATGATAGAGCTCCCCCCCGTACTTGCAAAAAATACTGACAGGGTGTGTAGCTGGTTGTTTGAAACTCCTACCTCTTATCAGACAGAAATAAACTCAACTTGCACAGCCCTTTTTAGACAAACTGTGCATATTTTGACACCCCTCTCCAGACATTAGGCATTGATGGTACGAAGGGAAAAGCAGGTGGACTCCCGGGGATGGACTTCGACGATCGAAATGAAGTTACAGAAAGAAAAATCAGCTTCATTCTCCTGATTGTAGGATCACTCAAGCTCTAGAGACAGTCCTTAGAAAATATGAACCCTTTTTCAACCAGAAATAATGAAAAAAAGATACCCCTTTTCAAAAAGACAAGGTAAAAATAACATACCCCTTTTTATACAGAAGTGGTGAATTTGGAACCCCTTTTGGTGGTACATATACATATATCACTTAAATGAGATTACCCCCGGGGTAGAGGGAAATTTGTGCAATCAAATTTGCCGATTTCACAGTTTTTTGCCAATAAAAAATAACTAAGGCAAAAACTCACGGTTTTTGAGCATTTTTGCAAAGACATTATTCTCAATCAATATTCCGCCCAAAACAGGAACATTTCTACTAATTCTTGTTATGTTTTTTTGCGACGTTTTTACTGAAAAACCTGCATTTTTTCAAAATCCTACTCAAAAGTGTTTATATTATATATGGGCCTTCTGATTTAAGACTGTAGAACCACTTTGATCTATAGTTTGATTTATTTAACATACTTACCAAGAAAGTACAGAAAAGTTCGCCATAGTTCCCGTATGATAGAACGCGTATTTTGATCTCTATGTGGCCAACCAATGGCTGGACACGATACGTTTTCGGTCGTTGCCAAAGAGCCCCGCGTCCATTGTCTAGCGAGGCTCTTCCGTTTCACCCCACCAGAATGTTCTACCATTATCAGCCATGGTGTGTGTGAGAAGGCATTTCACGTATGCAACATTACATATAAGCGTTCAGTGCTGTTGCATGATTTATTGGATGTATACCACAATACGAAACTATGCACTAAACTTTCACGATGTCTTCTAGATGTCAACGAATGCCTTTATAACAATGGAAATTGTTTCCAACTGTGCATAGACTTATCTGTTGGATATCATTGTCAGTGCAATACCGGATATTACCTCGTGCCAGTTCACAACAGAAAATGTGTTGGTACGTCAAATAAGTATCTTAATTATATAATAACGTCGTGCATTCGTATGAATATGTATTAGGTCATGCGTAATATATAACGTAACATAACCATAGGACAGCGAGATGCGTAAATTTGTTTCAGTGGTTATTTATTTACAAGGTCATTTACTTGGTATTCAGACGTTTGCTCAGTTATGATTGGGGAAGAATGGAGCTACGATGCGGGATATTGCCATTATTACAATGATAGCTATGACTCTACTTCAGGTAAAAGAAATAATTCAGTTTTGAATAATTACACAACAATGATATCGATATACCGTCGAGGTAAATACTACAATAATAATAATAATAATAATAATAATAATAATAATAATAATAATAATAATAATAATAATAATAATGCGTATAAATATGTATTACTTAGTGCATTATTCGTTAGTTAATAACTGCAATCGTATATAAATGAAATTTAACTACATTTATATACCTTGAGCATAACCTCGTGTATTTGTCTTGCAGTTAACAGTGACTATGGTACGTGCGAAGCTAATATAACTGTACTGAGTGCCCTGATTGGAATGCTGCAGTCAATGAATTACCCATTACAATTCTCTAAGTATATGTCGTGCTATTGGTTGATTGACGTTCCTGTTGGTCTTGCAATCAGGTATTGTCAACCACAAAAGACATTACTCGTTGGATGTTGTAAAAGTATGTATATATCTGTAGAAGAGCCAGTGTGAAGTTACTTACAAGATTGTGCCTGACTCGCTACCTAACCGACGTCTTTCAGTCAGACCAATCAAAGAACAGCTTTGACTGTGTTTTTTTCAACGTATCAATTCTTGCCTTGTATGCTTCGACTCAACTTCTGTGATGAGTTGTAACCTTATTCACATCAAGCTACCTACTACACACTCTTCAACTGATTTACTGATTGCATACATTATGTATTTCAGACTATGGTTTATATACCTGAATTTTGGCACATATATTTCCGAGTGTGTATCTAGCCTGACAACATACGACGATGGTAAATACCTTATAAACACATACTGTGGAAGCGTCAACAACGCATATGTTAGATCTACCTCTCATCGTTTGCTTTTGGAGTTCAATTCAGGAGATGTGGTGGAAGATGGTGCTGGGATTCTGGCCGTATATAACAGCACTGGTAGGAACCATTTCTCATGTCAACCAATTGGTAGTCAGTCTTATTTGCAAGCGTAACAAAACGTGCGCATATATGCATCACGTTAGCATGAGACTGCCAAACCAAGTTTACTTCATCATGACACTATTTTACATAAATCCATTTCATATATTTTCAAATAATATTTTCAAAATTACAGAATGTCCGTTTGGTGAATGTTTTTCTGATTGTGGCAGTCCCAGTCATTTCATTGACACCCCAGGACAGTTTGCATCAATGAACTTTCACATGGACGAGTTGTTCTATCGCCCATACAGTCGGTGTCAGTGGACAATCATCGTCAGCGATGACAAGTTTGTTCAATTAGAATTTCCCGTATTTGATCTACCATCTACCAATCTCAGTGCATGCCGTGATTACGTGGAAGTCGATATTAGTGATATTGGCGATATTATGAATTTCGTTCGTTACTGTGGTGTGGATGCACCACGCGTATCATCTCTCAGCAATCGCATGAGAGTCACGTTTTCTACTTTCGAATACAGCCAAGGAGGAGGATTCCAAGCTTATTATGAAGAAGCAGGTATGACCATGTATTTTATAATATACATGCTTTATATACATTTTATCCATGTAATGTCAGGATACTGTGTGCCTGCGTGGACTAATAAACCGATGCTGGGACTCACTCCTAACTAAAATCACTTAGAAATAGCTATTGTGTTAGCTACCTCAGAAGGAAACTTATTATTTGAGGAGGCAATCAAACTGACACTTCTACGTTGATTGTGGAGTATATTGGTTGACACATATATTTTTTTCTAATATTCTACTTAGACTGTCCTGGATTTGGTATGGGAGTACGAGAATGTTCTCGGTACCTTCATCTGAATGAAAGCTGTGGATATGTCCAATCAAGCAACTATCCTAATCCCTACCCTGATAACAGCTACTGTGACTGGAACATTGTCGCACCTGAGGGGAAATTAGTACTACTAGAGTTTCTTCATCTCGACATCGACGGTGGTTCGAACTGTTGTGACAATTACGTGAAGATCTATGACGCCAACATGGCAGATCCAAACCATCTAGTGGATACATTGTGTAACAGTAAAGTTTACACAACGTTTATTTCCAAATTCAATAGCCTGTATGTTGAATTTGTTGGTGCGCATGCGGACAATGGTATTGGATTCTTTGCCAGGTTCGAAGCGTACAGCGTCGTCCCTATTGTTAATTTGAGTAAACCAACCGACCAAGGTACGTGTTGCTCTTAAACTATGTTCCATATTGCTAAGCTACATTACATACCTAGTAACAAATAATTTTCATAACTATGTGTATCAGATCCAGACGAGACATTTTCTTTACAGATTACGCATGTCTTCACGGGTGGTATCTGTTTAATGCCTACTGTTATCGCTTCTTTGTCGCGAACTCAACTTTGAGTTGGACTAAAGCTGAAGGCAGATGCACGAACATGAACTCCCACCTTGTTAGTATACTAAATTATGAAGAAATGGTGTTTGTTCACTACAGACTGACAAACACGTGGTGGACTGGAAAAATGGAGACGTCTATTGGTATTTTCATTGTTTCAATAGATCTGTGTTACATTATTTTCCGGGCTATTGCTTACATTGTTGAGAATGTATTATATCAATATTATATATCAATATGTATATAAAACCGATAAACAGTACCTGTGTATGAGCGTTTGCGAACACATACTGTGCCAGGCTTTTGAATATATTAATATTATACGATACCCTCCACGAAACTTATACATGCAGTGTACGTGCAAAAATGAATAAAACTGTTCCTTTTCCATATACTATTTACCATACTTTTTAGGATTATACAAAACGACAGATGTTAGATACCAATGGACTGACGGGAGCCCCATGTCGTACACCGATTGGTAAGCTGTATTAACCTTCCCCCTTTACTGAAGTTTATTTACTTCTGTTACTCAGTAATTATAAGTTGAATCGTTCATATTTCATACAAGGTATTATTTTATAGGGCAGAAGAAGAAGGAACTGATGGGACATATATATTCCAGCCGGATGGAGGAATGTTTGAGCGATGTACGATGATCAATTTAGCTAATTTACATTCAACCAATCATTGGCACGATATCCCATGTGCGTTGGACACCATTGCGCAATATATATGTAAACAACCAGCAGTGTATACAGGTATGAGCCTTGTTCTAGTTACATTTTAGTATTGTACATTAACGTCCGAAAGAATAACAATTTGTACATTATTTTATTATTATTTATTTATTATTTTTTGACAGGGGAAAGAATAATCGAAATTATTGTCGATCCTGTATGGAATCATCTTGGTAAGTACGAAAATATTACATTAAATTGTTCCAGTATTTTCTAAAAACATAAACAAATAACCGAACTGTTGTTAACATTGAACAGCGTTCTATAGTCACACGTGTCTGCTACTATTTCGGTATTTCAGGAACTCAAACGTGTGATACGTTTCATAAATGTGATGATGATTCATGTCTCCATTATGCATTTGTATGTGATGGTGCGGTAGATTGCCCAGATGGTAGTGACGAAAGAATATGTGGTACGTACATAATTAAATGTTCAGAATTTTAGAGGACAGTTTCAATAGGGTCAACCCATAAGGCCATTGTAATCCCATTTTATCTGCAAAGAGTATATTATTTCATCATAATTATGTTGTTTCACACAGATAGTGGGTGTTCGAAGGATAGTTATCATTGCTCAAATGGTGGGTGCGTATCGATGTCATTTTACTGCGACTTCATCGACCAGTGCGGAGACAATTCTGACGAACAGCATTGTGGTATGATGCGTAATTGATACTTGTCATGGCATTGACATCAATAAATAACAGTTATAAAATATTAACGTAACATAGTATACACTGTATAGCAAAAACATTCAACGACTGTATTCATGATTGTGTAAAATAATTCATACAATATAGATTTGAATATACGTGTAAATGGTGATAGGAATGTATTTCTAATGCTTTTATATATTGATACTCAGTGTATCGCAATTGCACAGAAGACCAATATACGTGCTCCAATGGTCAGTGTATATCGAAAGAAAAACGATGCAATGTTGTTAAAGATTGTTTGGATGGTAGTGATGAAACACTGTGTGGTAGGTATATGAACCGATGCAGTAGGTTGTGTATTACTCGTGGGGTGGGGGGGGGGGGTGACTTGCAAAAATACTGAGTAGCTGGTTGTTTGAATCCCCTAATCCTTTATCAGACAGAAATAAACTCAAATTGCCCTTTTCATACAAACTGGGGGTATTTGACACCCCCTTCCAGACAGTTAGCATTAATGATACCAAGGGAAAAGCTAGTAGACCTCCGGGAATGGAAAAAATCAGCTTCATTCTTCTGATTGTTGGATCACTCAAGCTCCAAGGACAGTGTATAGAAAAAGTTTACCTCTTTTCAGACAGAAATAATGAAAAAAAGTATACCCCTTTTCAGACAGACAGGGTAATATAACATACCCTTTTCAGACAGAAGTGGTGAATTTGTGACCCCTTTTGGCGGCACATATACATACAGTACTTCAATGTCAGTACCCCCGGGGGTATTACTTTAAAAAATTGTTTTTGTCGTTGATGTACCACAAGTTTGTTCCTTATGTTTCTGTTCGCTATAACGGGACGCAGTCACATACGTTTGGTGATATTTCATTTCAATATTTCAAACTCAGTGAGTAATACTTAATAGACAAAATTGCATATAAAATTGAGAAAATTAATATTTTGGTCCATTTGTTTAGAATCTTGTGATGGATTCCAATGTTATGATGGACAGTGTATACCTGATCACGCCAAGTGTGATTTCACTTACGATTGCCAAGGCAACAGAAAAGAAGACGAGTATGGTTGTGGTGAGTATTTAGTCCCATCCTATCTTACTTGCCCATCACGCAAAATCAACATATTCCCCCTTAACAACCTGTGTCGCAATGTATAGAATTTTAACAATGTTTCGTGCTGGAGATATGAACTGCGATTGTGGATAGATAATGTAATTGAATGCATAACCATGTACTGTGATGTAAGGATAAGTGAAGTATGATATGAATTGTGACAGCGATACACAAACTCAATCAAAAACTAAAACACTGCTTCTCCAGAACATACTACATACATAATACGCAAGTGAGGTAGAAAGAAAAACAGCCTGATACACTTTCTACTTCATTCGAAAACTTACTTACTTTGCATTTCTGTGCTTGGATCCATCATACATGCACGCTTGATAATAATGATGAAAATACTACTTGTCGATAGATCTGGGAGTGATAGGTGGCTGTGACAATGACGAGTTTCAGTGCAATAATTACCAATGTACAAATCAACGAAATATTTGTCTGTATGACTTTGACGAGTATGGTTATCCAGTTGGTTGTCGTGACGTGTCACGCTTGAAGTCATGTGGTGAGTTGTTCAGATTTATAAATTATATTTCAATTAAGCACAATGATGTAGCTAAATATGCAATTTCCAGTGATACAGCAGTTTATGTTAGATTTATACCTATATATATATGTCTAAACTTATTTATTGTTTCTATATTTTAGATACCTTTAAATGTACACGTGGAATGTTCAAATGTCCCGACAGTTATTGTATATCGGTACATAGAGTATGCGATGATGTCTACGACTGTCCTGATGGTATTGATGAGCATGGCTGTGGTGAGTTTGTGAATATTTACGGCAATACAGATACATTATATTAATTGAAATGGTAATTCAATAGTTACCCATATGTTCGTCACTTTACAATTAAAAAAACGGTCTTAAAGAAATATTATTTCATTTATTTTAGCTCAAAAACAAACTGTATGCGTTGCCCTGGTTTTACTTTTCTCCATATACTCCTTTGTTACAACGTACCAAGTAATAACATGTGTATTTAAAAGGCATCTAGCACTATGTTTGCAACGTTGTGTTAATTTTCGGGAACTGTCATCAAACTATATCTGTCTACCTTAACTAAATCATATTGTATTAAATTCAATCGTAAATCTGAAAATAAAGGTCTTATAAAGTGTTTATAATTGTTCAGTCATAAAATTAAATACTTTTTCAACATTCCTAATTCATTATGGGATTCAGATGAATGTTTAAAAAGATGTAGTTTTGGTGTGTTAAACTGTGATTAAATTGTTAAAACATAATCTTCACAAGGAATATTTGGGTTTACATAAAAAAGTGCTTATTAGAAAGCATCATGTGAAGTTAAGGTCTCTCATATGTATACGAGATTAGCCTATTTATATTTCTCTATATTATCATTCGCTCTTTCCCCATCTGTAATATACGCCCGAAGTATAATAGATTATTTTCCGTTCACTGCGAGAATCACGCGTTATGCATGAAATCGAACGTGAAAACAGGACAAAGAAAGATCGTAGTGGCGTCAAACATCACGTGGGATTCAACAAACGTATTTTGGGGGACATTTCCATGCTTAATAATGTGCTATCTACGTTTGATGATAGGCTATTTCGATTTAGTAAGGGTATTCGGAACAGTATTCCTTTGTCGAAGATCGGCCGGTCGATGTGAGCTACGAAATAAAGAAATTCGAGCTCAAAATCAAATCGTTCCATTTTTGCGGCAGACGTTCGACGCGCGTTTTTCATGCAACTCGCGAGATCTCGCAATTGTATGGAAAATCACCTATTAATTCATATGATTTACAGCAATTCCAGGCACTGATTTGACGCTGAAATAGTACTAGATATAGATAACATTCTACAATAGGTTACACACTTTGTTTTCACATTTACATAAGTTGTAACTAGAAATATAAACATCGACTGCAAATCAGAGGAATGATTGATAGATACTGCCCACAATGTTTTCTATTTTTGCTACAAAGTCCGATGTCCAGTCACTTTTGGTTAGTCATCGTGTTGATTGCATTTGTCCAAGTTGTTTAAACATCGCGATGGAGAAGCAAGGAGTCGAAAACCAGTTGAAGTGAGAACAAGAGTTGTCGATTTGTATTTTCGTGGGCTGTTATTTGCTGAGATCGGAGATCGAAGTGGTGTTTCAAAGCAGACAGCTTTTAATAATAATAACTTTATTACACTACTAAAAACCTTCAGAGGGTTTTTGTATGGTAAGGAACATAAATACAAAGAAATACAAATACCATAAAATATCGTCTATATATAATATCGTCAAACGGTTTGCTACCGCCGAGAGTATACTGCCAGGAAAGCGTAATAGCGACCAATCCGCGACTAAAAATCTAATTGTAATATAAAACGTAGAGACCGAGCATTTACGAACGGGAAATTCGACAAAAAATACCCGAAAACGGTGTATACGGCGGCAACCCTCCCCGGACGTGTGATCGTGTGTTTCTAGTGATAAGCTGCGATTATTTGGTGGCACATCAACTTTTTAGTTCTCATCGTCGAGAACTAATAATCGAATAACACCCATTCTACTTATGTATTCAATTTCATTCTTGATATACTGGACGAAGTCTTCATAGGACATTTGTTGCAGGCGGCTTTTAGTTATATAGATCGGCGTAATACGGATATTTCCATAGTAGGAATGCTGGTAATGCGTTTTGATCAACAATTCTGCCATGATCGGCCGGTCAGCTGGTTCTGTAAAATAACTCTAACGTTCTTTACAGTGCCACCACTTTATGCGCGCCTCTCACTGAAATAACATGTGACGCAAATTGTAGTAGGAAACTAAGTTGAGAGCCTCGATTGTTTATTGGAGGAGAAATTCAAAACTAATGTACCTTCCGGTGCGCTTCAAATTCCAGACATGCTGTCTGCATATTTGTAACAACTTCTGTAATTGTGAAAACAAAGTGTGTAACCTATTGTAGTAAGTTATCAACATCTAGCACTGCTTCGTCGTCAAATAAGTGCCTGGAATTGCTGTAATTAATTAAACGCTTGGACCTACTTTAAAATCAGTTATTCCATTTCCTCAATTAAAATATATTGTTTCCTAATAAAGTCTGGCATCTTCAACAACTTTGTTTTACTTCACGCAAATACAATAATTGGTTATCCATGGTTTTTTTCTTCAGATAATTACACATGTGTCAATGGCATACGGTGTCATGGTGTGCGAAACTGCATTGAACAACATCATCTATGTGATGGAGTTAGGCAGTGTCCTGGGGGAGACGATGAAATGTTGTGTAGTAAGTAATAATGAATTAATATTGAATAATATTGTTTGTTCGTTCGTTCGTTCTTTTGACCCTCTTTTCAATGTATAAATGCAATGCATGCTCGCAATGTTGTATTATAATATTTCGTCATACTTTATTTGGAATGTGTATTTTTAAATAGGTTGTGAATATGTCTCAAAAGTCTCACTGTGTTTAATAATGACCGTTCAATCCTTTCACATCTTTCAGATATAACATGCCCCGACATTTGCTCGTGCAATGGTTTGTATGTTGACTGCGCAGACTCAAACATCACAACTTTACCAATTACTCTCGACCATGACACACGAAAATTGTGAGTACGAATAACCAAGCTTCACTATTATATTTGAATAAATTATAGAAACATTAATATTTATTTTCAATAAATGTAGTGCATTCTGTCTTTAAAGATTACCATAGGTTTCAAGGTAGTGAAACTAGAACTAATTACCAAACGCTTCAGCGTGGTATTAAGAGTTAGTTTTCAGGGGTGGGTG